TTTTCCTAGTGGTAGAACTTTTTAATCCACCCTCGTACAATGGTATATGCGGCTGTATGAGTATTCACATTAATTTACCTACAATTTTGTAATCCTTTTTATATTTTGCTACTCTTTTATAAATCAATTCATCTGTCTCCACCCTCCCTAGTCCATTTATATGGGCGTCTGCTTGACTGAAACTTTGCTGNAAATCAATTCATCTGTCTCCACCCTCCCTAGTCCATTTATATGGGCGTCTGCTTGACTGAAACTTTGCTGTTCTGATTGGATCGTTGCGCTGCTGATGCCAGCTCTCTTCCGGGTTTATTGAATTTGTCATTCATAGCTACGCGATTAACGCCACAAAGTAATAAAATGTGCACACTGCAGTGCATGCAAATGTTATGAAAAGAAAAGCTGGTACATACATAGGTAACACGCAAAGTGTGTTGTTGTTTAAAACACTTAATATGCTAAAGGAATTATCGAATAATAAATTCCTTTGATGGAAATAAAAGAAGGTATGATACCTAAGTATAATATGTATGTAAAAATAGGCATTTTGTATCGGCAAAAAGTGCTTGGTAGGTCTACCAAAAAAAAAAAATTGACGTACCATTACCTCATAGCTACATATGTATGCAAATTTTTTTTTCTTCTTGATTGACCATATGGACAGAAAAGTGATTCTGGCCTTTTCCAACGCAGCACTCCACTGACTCCTCGCGTTGCTGGTATTTAGAAGGCAAAATAAGTTAATATTTAACTCTTCTCATTGAGCCCTCATGCTACAGAAATTTGCCACGAGCAAGATGCGGTATGAGAGCTCATTGATGTCAGCCACCTATCTCGGATCAAGATGCTCGCTACATATATAAATTTCTATCTGGAAACGCCACGTAAAAACGCTGTCCGAAATATATACCAGAAAAACCTTCTACAATTACCCCCCTGAAAACAATGTCTAGCAAAATTTTTTTTAAACGCCTGTAGTGAATACACATAAGCGAAAAGTGAACGAATTCGGGCGAAAATAAAGCTCATGATAGGGCTGATTACACCGAAACACAAAGAAAGGGGCGTGTGCTTTTAACCAGGCCCACCTACCGACATGTACTTCGACCCACTGAATTCGAATCTGAGGTTCGTTTGACTCGTAAATCCTCAAAGTTTCGAGTGAATTGCGAAAAAATGGCAATAAATGGCGAAAAATTCGGCCAATTTTGCGAATTCCCTAAACCATATTACATCACCNGAATTGCGAAAAAATGGCAATAAATGGCGAAAAATTCGGCCAATTTTGCGAATTCCCTAAACCATTTTACATCACTTTTCGATAGGTGATAGGTTTCTGAAAAATTAATTAATCAGCCTAGCTTTTTTGTTTTTGTTTTTTTATTTTTATGAAAAGAGGAAAAAATTAAAGCTTTAACCGGGAAAAATTTAAGAAACAACAAATTCTGTGTAATTTTTTTTTCTACTTGCATTAAAGCCTGTTCCGTTACAAAAAGCTACTAATGAAGAAAATCGATAGATAGATAAAAATAAAACGACTGTTCAAATGAAATTGCGCAAGAATTTTTTGTATGAAGTATGAGCAGGAAAGAGTGTGCATGGCGTATGAGTAACATAACATAAACAGATAATCGAAATGATTAATTAATTGCTCTGAAACTATCGCGCTGATCAAAAAGTGATGGCCGTGTGGCTTATGGAGAATGTTGTTAGGTTTCATTTGCCATATCTCGTATTAAGATTGCTCAATTGCTTCATAAGATGTACTATGATTAAGTGACAAAACCTATTTTTGGCTGAATAACGGTGAATTGAAAATATCTAGAAAACTTTTCCACAGAAAAAAATTAACTCGATTTTCGGAATCACCGAGCAATTCTACATAGCAATTGGATAGTGGCATCCAGTGTGCATTCTTGAATTGAATATGGTAAAGCAACTATCTGGGAGTATTTTTCAGAAAATGGAACTAAGTATAGACTTGTTTGTACATGCAGTTAAAGAAAACACACGAAAAGGACCAATTTTTTTTAAATAAAAAACAAATAAAAATTATTTCGAAGACGTGATACTTTTATCTGAAGAATGTTTGCTTATCAGTGAGCTCACCCCCTCACCTACCTTCTCCTCAAGCTTGTCGTGGTACTTCTTGAACATCACGCAAAAATCTTACAACAAATAAACTTTACTAGTTTAGATTTACTTCAAATCAGTATTATTAATGTGAATATGTACTTAAAATAGCATTTACTACTCCTGGTTATCAAACAAAAAAAAAGCAGATTAGATTCGTACAACTGCAAGCTTCACTAAAACACACAGATGTTGAGTTGTTTTTTGCCTGTCTCTGGACATGGCAGTGCTCTGGTGAGCGGCACAAGGTTATATTGAGCGCAAATTTAAGCTCAGCGGANCTTTAACCGGGAAAAATTTAAGAAACAACAAATTCTGTGTAATTTTTTTTCTACTTGCATTAAAGCCTGTTCCGTTACAAAAAATCAAGCTACTAATGAAGAAAATCGATGGATAAATAAAAATGGAACGACTGTTCAAATGAAATTGCGCAAGGATTTTTTGTATGAAGTATGAGCAGGCAAGAGTGTGCATTAACATAAACAAATAATCTGAAATGATTGACTAATTGCTCTGAAACTATTGGGTTGATCGAAAAGTGATGTATATATGGTTTATGGAGAATGTTGTTAGGTTTCATTTGCCATATCTCGTATTAAGATTGCTCAATTGCTTCATAAGATGTACTGTGATTAAGTGACAAAACCTATTTTTGGCTGAATAACGGTGAATTGAAAATATCTAGAAAACTTATCCACAGAAAAAAAACTCCTACACATACATACACTACATAGGAATTGGATAGTGGCATCTAGTGTGCATTCTTGAATTGAATAAGGTAAAGCAACTATCTGGGATTATTTTGCAGAAAATGGAACTAAGTATAGACTTGTTTGTACATGCAGTTAAAGAAAACACACGAAAAGGACCGATTTTTTTTTTAAATAAAAAAGTCAATATTTCAAAAACGGGGATACTTTTATCTGAAGAATGTTTGCTTATCAGTGAGCTCACCCCCTCACCTACCCTCTCCTCAAGCTTGTCGTGGTAATTCTTGAACATCACGCAAAAATCTTACAACAAATAAACTTTACTAGTTTAGATTTACTTCAAATCAGTATTACTAATGTGAATATTAATTTAAAATGGCATTTACTACTCCTGGTTATCAAACAAAAAAAAAGCAGATTAGATTCGTACAACTGCAAGCTTCGCTAAAACATACAGATGTTGAGTTGTTGTTTGCCTGTCTCTGGACATGGCAGTGCTCTGGTGAGCGGCACAAGGTTATATTGAGCGCAAATTTAAGCTCAGCGGAGCTCCAGACCAAGTATTGAGACATCAAAACAATTAGTAAACTTTTGTGCTCAGTAAATTTGGGTTGATTTTGCGCTCGTCCACTGGGTGGTTAGTCGGTAGTAACTCTCTTCGAAAAGGGTGTGTTATGTGCAGTTGACAAGCAGTGGAAAAGTGTCCATAGGAATAATAAAAATATCTCCTTATAATAAATTATTTTTAGTAATAGCTAATTACATAGTAACAAAGTATCAAAATATAGCTTTATATTGGTGAATATGTCCACTTTTGTGAATGCTGTGCGTGGCCTCTTCCGACGCCATCCCTTTCTCACCAACAGTGCAATCTATGGCAGTTTGTATGTGGGCGCTGAGTATTCTCAGCAATATTTAATGAAGCATATGCTGGTAAATTTTTAATTATTTTCTCGACTCTATTTGTGCAACTACGTATGTACATAGGTATAAATGTTTAAATAATTTTTGTGTGTGCAATCAGCTGTTGATGAAGTTATGTTTATACATAAATAATTAATTGAAAGAGTCTGTAAATAAACAGGGTGTCATATGCGAAAATTTGACTGAAGGGTGGAAAGATTAACAAAAAATTACCAAGAAAAAAAAAGCATATGCCAATACATATATGTATAATTATTGCAAGCCGGTTAGTTAGAATTTCGCGAAATGTTATTTTTAAAGAGCCCCTCCGATTAAGTATCTCCCCGTTTTTTAAATATATATTAAAACGGGGGATGGCTATTTGATAGACATCTATTCAACTTGTTTTCATAACTTATGATCATGTATGCAGGTCCTTAAATCAACTATTTATCTAAAGTTTATGTTCGCTAAACTTTTTCGATATGGCAAATTTGATGCAGTTCAACAGAGCTCATTTAACCGAACCGAACTACATCAAAATTGTCAAATCGAAAAAATGCTGACTTTTGCTCCCATTTGTAATTAACCGATTAAATTTGTAAGTGAATAAGTGTTTAAGGTGCGATTTTGTTAGTGAATTTTAGTAACAAATTAATACTTTAAGACATTTGTTATTGTTTATATATATGGATGTATTCATATTCAATTTACACCTACATATGTACGTACACCAACACACTTCTTTTCACACACAGCCAAAAAACGATGCGGAAAAAGAGGATATCGATTATGCCACAATAGGTCGGTATGCTGTAATGGGCACAACCGTTTACGCGCCAACACTCTATATATGGTTTGTTTATTCCTTTATTTTTGCATAAGGGGTATTCACAAAATCAGTACTGAATAAGAAAAAAATGTATAATTTCTATAATTTTTACAAACGAAAGTTTGTGGATACCCCTAACATTTAATAATTTTTTTATTTACATTAAGCGCTTTAAGTTTTTTTTTTAACTTTATGCTGGTTGCTCATTACACTTACGCAATTTTACGGCCTCTTGCACCCAATTGTGTGTTTGCTCGCCTTGATTTTGAAATTTTCCATTTACATTGCCCTTTTATTGGCTTTAATTAAAATAAATTTTGCATTGAGCATTGTACTGGGCACGGTGTGGCGCACAAATAAAATAATCATAAATTTCACTCATCACTGAGTGCGCTATGTCTGCACCATTGTTGTTATCATTTGTTATTTCCCTGCACTTGCTCTCTCTTTTTTCTTATCACTCACTAGTGTTTTTGCTCACACAAAATTCCTACATGCTTACGTTTAAATATACAACAACTGAGTATCCAATAACTTTACTATCAATGTTTTGTCTTACCATGGTGACTTTGTTAGTGACCGCTCGTCGCTGCCCATATATACATACATACATACATACATACTCCCCATTCAGAGAAGTGCACGTGTCATTTGTTTATTGTAAAATCGTATAAAAAGTGGGTATCTGTGCGCTTGAGCAAACTCTCTCTTTGGCTACTTAAATAAACACTTGACTATTTTTCTCTCTTTGTAGTTAATACCGGTATTAATAAACTGCTTAAGCTTTGCAACAATCACCAATGAATTTGCTTTGCCGGTTACAGTAAAAGCTTCCGAAACAAAATTCGAGCTTTATTACATCCAACTTTTACAGGCTGCGAAAAGTTCATTTTAGCATTTGTAACAACAAAATTTCGCGTAAAATGCAAAAATATTCCGGAAAATTTTTTCCATTAGTCACTGTACATTTAAAATCTTCTTGCTTTTTAGGGCAAATTGAAGTAAAGCTGCCTATTTTGTGGCGACAGTTTGATAAGCCTTTACATTTTTGATTGAAAAGGTTTGAAGCCCCGGCTGCTGTACCGACTGGACTTAGTTTAGGGATGCACTTTTGGGGTATCTGCTCAATAACGCTTCTCTCAGTAAGCTAGGCTTCTTGCTTCTCTCGGTACGTTAAGCTCGTGGGAACGAATTGAGGAAGCCCTTGATTGCGTTACCGATGCCTGTAATGCGGGCCTCTCCGTTTCGTGCCCGATTATGCTTCCGAAAGGAAAAACGAAGAAACATCAGTGGACCAAGGAGGACAATAGCGCTTTTCAGGAAGGAGAGTTCTTTAATATAGCAAGGCTTAATCGTTCTTGGACTGCATACAAGGCTGCCTTGAAAAAATAAAAAATGGCACTAGGAAAGCCCAAAGGGACCCCAGAAGAGATTAGTTGCGAGTGTTTGTCGTCAGATTTTTTATTATCCGAAGCGTTATTTTTGTTTTACATTTGCATCTATTTCTTACTAAATAATATTAGTGCGAAAAGGTGGGTAGGCGCTGTGGCCAATGGTCAAGTCCGTTTACCACCTTTGCATGATTGTAAGCAAGGAATGAAACCGATTCAAAATAACGTTCCGGTTTGGGTTTCGGTTTTGCCAAGTGTTTCGGTTTCGGTTTTGGTTTCGTTCTTCAAAATTTATTTCGGTTTTGGTTTCGGTTTCGTTCCGGTTTCGGTTTTTCACAGAAATTTTGTTGATATTATTTAAATCACAATGTCTTAAACGTTGAGGAAAGAAAATCGAAAATTACAGTTCACTGATAATATCAACACTAGGTTCTTTCCCTAACAATCCGGACCGGATTTGGTAATTAGAGAATAAGAGAAACATTTTCTTTCAAAAATGGAACAATGTTCAGAAGTACGGAAACGCAAAAACCCACATTTCGTGCCCACAAGTCGAGAAACAGCTGATTCACGTTGTTCTTGTTTTTGTCACTTATACCATGTTCTGACCGACATCGGAAACATGTTTTCGTTGCTAAAACTGGTTTTCGACCTAAAACTTGTGTTTTCGTCCATATAAAATCTGTTAAACGAAAACCAGTTTTCGCTGAAAACTACTTGAAAACTCACTTTCCACTCATTCCAATCGGTGTCTTCACTAGTTTTTTTCGATTATTTATCGAAGTGGAAGTCATATTTTATCATCTTTAATACGCCATATCGGATTTATTGTTAATTGCCTGGCCAAAGCAAAATAAGAATGAAAGTTAAAGGTTGTAAATGAAAAGAAAATGAAGGAAAAATGTTTTGGTTGTCGGTCAGAACATGGTATTAAATGAAAACACTTGGAAATTGAATTTTGGTTTCACAAATTTGATTTTAAGTACATAGATTGAAAATACATCAACAGGCCATTCACTTTTCCTTAAAAGCACCAAGTAAATGCAGGCAACATGTAATTACAATACAGCTGATATGCACTTTGACACTTTATCCATTTTTACTCGGAGAAAATTTCGGGCTATTTCGGGCAGGAAGAAGAATACACTTACGATCGAATACGCTCGAATTTTCGCTCTCTATTACCCATTTTGTTGAGTACAGGCATGAATTCTGGGCTGTTTTGGGCACACGCGGGATCTCGCATTGCGTACGGGAAAGAAACTACTTAAATATAATTAATCGATTATCGATTCACAACAACAAAGTCATCAGCAGATTTTTGCGAAAAGTTACCTTGCCATACTTATTTACTACTTAACAAGAATTTTAGCAAAATGTTGCTGATTTTGGTTAAATAAATCATTTATTTCAAAGAAATTTTTATTTATTATTTTTGTAAATTTCTGGAAACCGATTGAAACCTGTGATTGAAATGGTTTCGGTATCGTTCCTTTTCAGGTCAAGATAACGGTTACGGTTTCGGTTTCGGTTTTGAAAAACGAAACGGTTTTAAACGGTTACGGTTTCGGTTTGGGTTTCGGTTTCATTCCTTGATTGTAAGTGATGCAGAGTCCTCAAAATACTCCACAACAGTGTCCAGAGGATGGATCAGACTAGGCCAAGCCATAAAAATAAAACTTAAGAAAGTTTTATTATATGGAAGTAGAGAAATGAATGTGCAAAAATTTCATAAATTGCACAACGGAAATGTTTGCCCATGCAGGAGGAGAGTACATAGCATGAATTTAAACGCCCGGTGTTAGCAGTCGCGCCTAAACACTTGTGGAAGCAGAAACAGCGCCGGGCTGTACCGAAGCCGAGATGGCCTGGCACTGCGACCTAGCGAGTGGAAAGGGGAATAAGTCCGTCCGCCACGGTAGCGCCCCATGCCATAATTAAGGTAGGTTACTTACTGAGGCGACCCGGTGTCAGGGAGGCACCGCAGAAATACAATCCGTTCCCATGCCATCCAATAGGCATAGTCCGCTTAACACCCTGGATTGAGGGAAACCTCCCTACCGTGATCAAATGGAATTGCGATGGGCTGTGCTATTGATGAGCAGCGAGCCTTCTCGCGATTCTCCTAGATCTTAGCTGGATATCGTTCTGATAACGCACAGAATATACTGGAGTATCGAATTCCTGTCGACACCCTTGGGGAGAGTTCAGTGGAGGGAAATTTTTTCGCCAACCAATTTGGGGGCTACCTCGTTCAGAATTCTGCTGTACTGTCGTCCTTGCAGTCCACCGGGAGCATTCCTAGTCCAAAGTACGCACCAAAGAACACAAGCAGACACGCGCACACTTTGTAGACCTGAAACATTAGGAAATCCAGTGTCTCCGTGGAACAGTTTTAAAGCGGCACCACCTTGGGATGCCCCTTAGAGTGTCCGAATAAATTTGATGCTGTCGATCCCCTCCTGAAGGGTCACTTACACATTCGTTGCGGTATATTTTTTACACCCAATAATTCAACCCTCCCTATGGTTCATAGAAATAATTCCAAATTTTCAAACTCGTCCTCACTTAGCCTCTAAGTCAGCGTGTAGTCTATTTTTAGTTTCATTCCGGGTGAATCAGTTTCTTTTGCATACATTTCGGTAATTTTCTGTTTACTTACATTTTTTTTATAGTTACCTTTGGTTTTGCATTTTTACTTTTTAATTACTAACAATAACTTTTGGTAATCACATTAAAAGCACAACACACATGCACTTTACTAAAGCACAATGACGCTGCTGGATTCGAGTCTTTGGTAGCTCCACATAAGAAAAAGTTTTTAGTGTAGCTTTATATATTTTCTAATCCGCACATCTAAATGTCTATGCACTGCGTCGCATAAATACGCCTCAATGAATATGTTTACATACATATACACTCTAACATATTTATTTGCTAAAATAGATTAATTGAAAATTTTACTTTCTTAACGAACACGAAATTAGGTACAAATGGTTGGATAGAACGTTTCCAGGAACTGCTAAGCCCATAATCATAAAGAAGCTGGTCTTGGATCAATTTGTGTTGACACCATACTTGTTGACTGTCTTCTACACAGGTTAGAAGTAAATGCTAATTCAGAATCATAATAAGCAATATACTTTTTTAATTGTAATTATAAATAATTATTTTAGTAAAAGATCTGACTTTCACTTTTTGAATTTCTAGGCATGTCGCTTATGGAACGCGCAGAGGATCCCTTCAAGGAGTTGCGCGAGAAGTTCGTTCCCACATTTTTACGTTCCTGTACCTTCTGGCTGCCGGTACAAACATTAAATTTCATTTTAATCGCGCCGAGATTTCGCGTGATTTACATGGGCGTTTGCGGTTTCATTTGGGTGAATATACTGTGCTGGATTAAGAGGCAGCGAAATGAGTTGCAGTCGGAGAGTGAGGTGAAAGTGGCGGCTCAGTAAATGCACGAAATAAGAACTTAGCCGAATTTAAAAATAACCTTTTTGTTTTTTTAAGCGCGTAGTTAGTTAGAAAACGCATTGCACGGCGATTTGAGTTTATATACATATATACTACAAAGCCAAAAGAAGGCTTTGTATGCTTACATTTCCGAAAGTGAAAATAAGTATCGAAGTAGAGCTTTAATTTTTAAGTTAATACACATCGGAAGAGGGTAAAACACAATGAGCAGCTGAAATAAAAATTTTCTAAAATCTAAAGTTTCCCAAGTTTTCTAAAAAATCGTTCTAGTTCTGAACTTTTTCTTCCATGTGATTGTGTTTTTGCGTTTCGCTCCCGGAAAAAAGAAGTGGTCTCAGAGAAAAAAAGTTCTGAACTAAAACGATGAATCCGCCTTAATGGGTCTGAAAGGGAAAGGATTAACACTAGCAACTGAGCAACGATTTTAAACTGCTCCTTTCCAGCCTATCGTAAAGCGGCTGAAATGGGTTCCTTTCTGTTATTTTAATGGATTCAAGCAGACTCGTCAGATTATTGTTGAAAGGATCTTCATGCTTATTTATGATTTATCTATCAATGTACATTTTTATTCCATAATAGAATGTGCATTCAAAGTCAGATACTCTTGAAAAACCCTTATTCCAAGTGAATCTGGTCATGCGACTTCCAACCTTAAAGCTTTCCTAAGCAATTTTAAGGATGTTCCATTTAAGAATATACAGTGCACCGACAAAAGAGTTTACAATAATTACATTGCCATGGAAAACCTTGACTTAATAAGGATTCTTTAGGGGCATCAGTATCAGAGTAATTGTCTATAAGTAAGTTAACAAATAAAATACCTTAGGTACACTCCGACAGCTCCGTAATGAATGTCCCTATTATTAAATCTGAGCTTTTTTTTTGTAATTTTGTCAGAGTAGCACGTTTTAGAAGTTTTTCATAGATACTAATATGAAAATTTTGCATAAGGTTAGGTAGTATCTAAGTAACCTCGTTTGGATTATGTAATTTGTAATTCTGTTTACGTTGAAATGAGATGAAAGCAACTTGCTAAAGAAATTTTATATTAAATTACTAAATTAAAGGCGGTGCAATATTTGCTAACAATTACATAAAGAAGCGCTTTTTTTATTTTGAAATAACTACATATGCACAAATTGTAAAAGTGATTTAAAATAAAATAATTGGCTACAAAAAATACATACACACATACTTTGTATGTAGTGTGAATTAATTTTAATTAAAACTAAAAAAATACAATAGTTCATTTCGGTAAGTGAAATTTTTAAGTACTAATATACTTATGGCCTTATTCATAAAAACTGAAATAGGTTAAAAGGGCTTAGTAAAACGGTTAAAAAAGGCTTTGTTTCTTAATTATATGTAGGCGGGTTGCCACCTGTTTCAAAATGTAAGTTCGACTTAAATAAAGGCAGAAAATTGAGATGTATATCCTGATTTGGATGTCAGATGAAAGAGGTTGGGGTTTGAAAATATTTTGCAGAGGGTTGCCACCTTGTTACAATGTTAGTTTAAATGAATTACTTCATTATAAATCAAAATTGCTTTGAATAGCCTTTATTTCCAAACTGCAAGTAAGCCACCTAATTTTATAATTAAATTCAATTTGAATGAAGAGTATTAGATAATTTAAATATGTATCACAATAAAAGTGTCAGACGAAAAAGGAATTGTTATCTGTGTGAAAAGTAGAATCAAATTAAATTATATGAAATATTGAAATATTGACGTAAAATAAAGCATTATTAAGAAATATGGAGGTTGAGCATTTACAAAATTAAAGAGGATCTCCAGCTGTGTAAAAATTTAAACACAAATAATTTAATAAGTCAAATGAATTATTTTAAAGTATTGATATAAATTGACATTGATATTGATAAACTTTAATTAAGAGGGTTGCCATATGGTTTAGAAATTAAATTGAACTTATTTTAAGCGATTTAGATACACAATTTAAATATGTATTGCAATATGTGTGCCAGTCGAAAAAAGTTTAATAAGGTTTTGGTTTTAAAATATTTGGAATAGTGTTGCCACTTGTTTTGAAATTAGAATTCAATTTAAGTATGCATAAGTTAAATGAAATATTGAAATATGAGGTGGTAAGATATCCTTAGTTTGTATATTTAGAATATTAAAGAGGGTTGCCACTTGTTTCAAAAGGCAAACCCAAATTATTTCACAAGTTACAGCAATTATTAAGAATATGGGTATCAAATGAAATGAAATTTATGAACCCAATATAGCTGAAATTGGCATAGATGAATTCTGTAGCTGTAGGTGTAGATGTCCCATATGCGTATTGTATTTGCAACGAAAAATTACACTGAAGATGGCACAACGCCGAAACCGATTTGCCTCCAAACCAAACTTGAAAAGGGATGACGGAAAATCGTTCCGAAATAAACAATGTTACCACGTTTTCGGGAAAATCAACCAATGCCGTCTAAAAATCTTTCATGATAACGATAATGTAGACAGTTTCTCTCGTAGAAAATTATTTCTGAGAACGTATTTCTTATTACCTCCTCCAGCATCTGATATAAGGATGCACCGCATGAAAGAGTGTTGTCTAATCTGAAGCCTCAATGGCTCTGAGAAAACTTTCTATAATTTGAATCACGTTGTGATGTTGTTCAACGTCAATTGTGCAGCTGCTGTAGGCATCGAAATATATCGAAGTGACAACCTTAAAGCTTCCTTGGATTCGAAATCCCCAAAAAGCTTAAACAGAATTATATTTTGCGAGAAAAATTAATTTGCTTATTGCTAAGATAAAAATTTGTTGACAAAAGTTTTCACACATTTCATGACAAAGTTTTCTTTCCCTATCAAAGATTGAGAGCTTTTACTTTTAACTACATAACTAACAAAACAAGTATTTACATCCAGATAAATGCTACAAAGAAATTTGTATTTATGTAAATGCGGACTACTACAATACTTACAGGCACAAATAAGCTTCCGAAGATTAGCCACACAAGAAGAATTATCACATCAAGAAGTGCATAACTACTTTGCTGCGCTTAATACTTGCGCGCTCAAATAAGGAAATCACCGCAATGTGTAGTTGGAATGGTAGTATGCGTATGAAAATGTTAAATGTTACGTATACGCCCTGTGTGACTGCTTACTATTTATAACTGTGAGAGTGAAACTTTTTCTGGTTTGCAAAACAAGAAGTCTTTGTGCAACAATAAAGCCAGCATTAATGTGGCGTAAGCCATTATGCCTTTTGTGAAAAATTGCAAAAAACATTTTTTGTTGTGTTTGTTGTTTTTGCACGCCACCAAGTGCGACGCAACAATATGTTGCCGAATGTCAGCAAAGTTGTGGCGAAATGATAAAAAGCCGCCTTCGCACCTTACTAAGCGATTGATGGTGGATGGTGGAGAAAGAGGGCGGCAGAATCCGAGGAGCAGAGCATTGAGCGCCAAACTTTTGTGAAAGGTTAAATTTCCATACGCCAACGCAACAAGCGCAAGCATTGCCATCGTCATTGTCGCCGTCGTCGTCGTCGCGTATTTTGTTAGCGTCCTGAATTTATATTCGATTTTTTTTTCTGGCGGCGCAACAGTTGTTCGCATAATTTTAGCGCCTACACATACAAACAAGTGCGAGAATAAATAATTTTTCGGTTATGCAAAAAAAAAAAAAATATATACGTGGAAAAATGTCAACAGTACCCACCGCACCATAGCAGCACACCCTTTTCGGCGGCAGCGGCTGTGTCATTCACGTTGGGTCGGTTCCATTGGATTTTCGGTGAATGTTAACTAGCGCAAAGATTAATGAGCGAAATTTTTAAATGTACGCCGTGTAACGTTTATATTTGCATAATTTGTGTAGCATTTTACACCTTTTAACGGGCCGCCATCAAGCGTCCCGTAAACGCAAGCAGCGCATAATCAACCAACGACCAGGCTGCCTGGCTGGCACAACAAGTGGAGTACCTTTGTTGCGACGTTTTTTCAGCAGCTTTGTGTTGGTTATGTCGGCTGCAACGGTTGTTATAGTTCAAGGACATAAATTTGACGAAAAAATGGTAGAAAATAAATTTTGCTTTTGTGCATAAAGTTAACCTTTTCGCTGCCTTGCTGTAGCGTATATATTATAATTTGAAATTTAAAAAATTGTAACTTTTACAACTTTCATTTCTCACACTTCGCTTTTTTTTGCGAAGCGCTTAAGCTGCACTCAGGCATCTTGCACTGCGCACATAAAAAAGTGTTACTCTTTCTAGCAGTGGTTACACAGGTACATAGCTAAAGAGGTAAGCATGAAAAAGTAACACACAACTACTACCGGTGGCTGTTGCTAGTTGTTGAAGTGGCAGTAGTGGCTGTTGGTAGGTGAATAAGCAACTGGTTCAGTTGACAGTTGGGTCGAGTGCTGCTTGCTAAGGGCAATGTGGCCAAGCGAAGCTTTGAGAAAAAGTCTGTACTGAAAATTGGCTTGGAAAAAGTTTACACAGTTAACTGGCGTAGTTGAGACTATGAATAGATAAATTCATGTTGCTATGACACCTATTGATAGAGAATGAAAGAAAACGTTGTAAGCATGCTGGCAAAAATTTATAATCAAAAGTAAAATGTATACTAAAAAAAAAAATAAAACAATTTAGCAAGTTAAATATCTGCGGTCATAAGCAATAACCGCCTAAGTCGACTTAAGAAAGAGTTGAGTTATATATGCTTTCGTATTCTGCAACTACTATTCCATGTGTATGTGAAATCCCCATCCCGCCTAGAGCTGGAAAACTATCGATACTATCGACACCACTATCGATAGTTTGGTACTATCGATGGTACTATCGATAGTCCAGCGACTATCGAACTATCGATGTTTATATTATTCACTTCTCTTCCTTTACGCGGAATTCAAATTGTTCGTAAGCTTGTGATTTTGTTGAATTTGTGATTAAACGTATTGATTTCTGAAACGGTAAGAATTAAATATGTGCATACATAATTAAATAAGCATTCTGTATAATTTCAATTAACAAATGAAACTATTTTAAAGATGGACGACATTATTAGCATTGACGAGGGTGAGTCACTTTCGCCGCCAAAAGTTAAAAAGCCCAGAATATCGGATGTGTGGAAATATTTTAAGAAAAAGGATACAAAAGCTAAGTGCACGTATTGTGAAAAAGAATATGCACACTGTGGAAATACGAGCAATTTAAAAGACCACATGTCTAGGTGCGACGGTAGTCGAAGCAGTATGCGGAGCAACGCCACCACCAGCAGCAGTAGCACTACATCGTCGACCGCGTCTTCATCGCAAAGGTATTTTGTTGGTGAAATTTTTTTTAAGAAGCGGCATACGGATCGGCAGCTCGGTTAACACGGGTGATACGGTCAGACGAGCCTACACAAGAAGTTAACGTCATGAAAATATTAGTCTTTCCAACAAATATTAGGCTGAATCAGCAACAGCTAACCGAGTTTCTGAGCCGTATTTCCTGTGTTATCCGTATTGTGTTCCAATAGTTACTATTCCGCCTTTTTGATATAATTTCATTATTGCATTTTCAGTACACTCGACTTTTTTATCAAAATCGCACCGAGATATGATCAAAATTCGTCAAGAAAGAAGGAAATCGATCGCGCGCTTGCATTAATGGTGTGCCAAGATTATCAACCATTTTCAATAGTTAACGATGAAGGCTTTCGAAATTTTGTTCGTGTTTTAGACACGAGGTATGAGTTACCTTGCAAAACAACTCTAAAAAATAAACTATTAAAATCGCAATATGATGAAATCAAAATCCAGATTAAAAATGAACTGGAGAGTGTCGCGCATATTGCAATAACTTGCGACATGTGGAGCTCAAGGGCTAATGATGGATATCTTACTGTGACAAGTCATTTCATTACAAATGATTTTGATTTGAAATGTACGTGTTGTCCACCAAACATCTGTTGGACCGTACAAATAAACAGGCCGATAACATCACAAGAACAATGCAATCAGTATTTGACGAGTATCAAATTACTAATAAGATAGTTTGTATTGTGACAGATAACGACAGCACAATGATAAAAATGTGCTCAAACCTGCAAAAAAGACACTTGCCATGCATGGCTCACACCATTAATCTAATAATACAGGACACACTAAAATTGAATTCAATCGAAAGTATTATTTCAAAATGTAAAAATATCGTTAGATTTTTTAAAAGTAGTAAATTGCTACAGAAAAATTAAAGGAAAAACAAAATTGTAATGAGCCCTTGAAATTGATACAGGAAGTTCCAACGCGCTGGACAGTTCATTGGCCATGATAAAAAGAATTATGGAATTGAAAAATTCAGTTAATGCGTGTCTTTTGGATTTAGATAGAGCTCCAGAGCCGTTGCGAAATGAAGAAGCTTTGGTTTTAAATGATTTGGTGCTTATTCTAACGCCCTTTGAAGAGGCACCAGGCAATTATCAAGCTCGAGTAATGTGACCGTATCTCTAATCAATCCGTTAATTTGTGGAATGTTCGTCTCCCTGAATGACATTCAAAAAAAGTTTGTTACAGAGGAAGGAGGTCTTGTCGCAAATTTCATTATAACCAGAATGCAAGTACGTTTAGCTTCATATGAATCTAGAACAGTCACCAGGATTAGCACGCTTTTGGATGCCAGATTCAAAAAGGACGGATTTAGACAAGAATCAAATGCTGAAGAGGCTCTTAAGCTTTTAGACAGCGAAATTGTCATTGAAAGCATTCATATGAAGCGTCACAGTAACGACGAAGTTAATGAAAATGACACAAATTCAAAAGAAGAAAGTTCGAACACTCTTCTATATTTCTTGGCCCAAAGGNTCTATATTTCTTGGCCCAAAGACGGCAAAGAAAAAATCGAACTACTAATGTTGATGCTATCATAACTAGGAGACAATATCTGGAGCTAGAAAATTTTGATGGGGATACTAATCCATTGTTATACTGGAAGGTAATAGTTTTTTAACTAACGCATTTTTTACATAAATATTAAATTTATTTTAAGGCAAATGCTAAACCAAAAGATGTCTTGGCTCAACTTGCTCGAAAGTATTTGTGTATACCGTCATCTTCAGTAGAATCTGAGCGAGTTTTCAGCACAGCCGGATTGATAGTCAACGNAAGTCAACGATCGAAGGTCAAGTCTAGAGCCAGAAACAGTAGACATGCTCGTTTTTTTACATACAAATTTATGTTCAACTTAGATTTCAAAATTGGAATAAGTATGTACAGCCACTCACTAAATTGAGTATACGCCGATTTTTTTTAATATTCGCAATGTTTTTCATGTTATATGTTTATTGTTGATCTTTATTAAAATATGGCTTATATTTTAACAAATACCATTTAAATCCAAGTTTCAAAGTTTGTAAATATTCTACAAATATTCATCAAAATCCCAAACTTATTTATTAGAATTTCTAGAAATATTTTTAGTATACAGTTTTATAACCCTATCAATTTTAGTACAATAATGTGCAAATTTTAACTGTCTTAAGATTCTTTTCATATTTTTTTTTGTGACGGCGCTGCGCATATTCTTCCCTTCAAAGCACTCCCAGAATTATAAACACGAATTTTAAGATAGTTGAAATTTCCACATTATTGTACTAAAATTGATAGGGTTATAAAACTGCATACTAAATATATTTGTAGAAATTCTTATTAATAAGTTTGAGATTTTGATGAGTATTTGTAGAATATTTACAAACTTTGAAACTTGGATTTATATGGTGTTTGTTAAAATATAAGCCATATTTTAATCAAAAAAATAACAATAGAAACATAACATGAAAAACATTGCGAATATTTAAACAAATCAGCGTATACTCAATCTAGTGAATGAATGTATGTATGCATGCATATCGAATATTTTTGTAATCTGTTTTTCTGTGCAGTTTGAAGTAAAATAAATTTTTATGTTGCTGTTATAACTAAAAAAAGCGATTTAAAAAATACCCATAGTATCGAAAACTATCGATGGTTTGTGTCGATAGTATCGGTGACTATCGATAGTTTTCCAGCTCTACACACATTAGGTTTGTTCCACAAGAGCCCGCGGGTGCCCAAATGAGCCCAGAAAGCGTTCCTCACGCTAGAAAAATGGGTCGTAAATGTCTTCTTCTTTGTACACGAAACAGCCCGGACTTTTTTCCGGACACAAATGTACAAAAGGGCAATTTGAAATAACAGCTGCTGTTGTTTAAATCCGAAAGCATATTTTATACAACACAAAAGTGGAAAATACCACAAAATTTTCAGAAAATGTAGCTGTGTGGTAATTTTATTAGCCATATGAGATAAATTCACGTAAAATCATTGTTTAGAGCTGATTTGTTGATTCCGGGCACGAAATATGTATTTTTGCGTTCCTCACCCTCTAGGCACTTTTGGCACGTGTTGACACATTTTTAACACTTGTGAGAGAGTAACTTATTTTTACGCTCTAATTATTGGAGCAGCCCGGAAAGCGTGTGGAATAAAGTTATTGAAAGCGAGTGTTGGGATTGTGGGCTGTAATATAATATGTTTTCGTTGACATTTCTTACATCCTTTGATTACAGTTTTGCTACACAAAAACAAAAGCAAAATACTTATCCTTCATTTTCTTTTCATTAACAACCTTTTACTCTCATTCTTGTTTTACTTTGGCCAGCTAATTTACAATAAATCTGAAATGGCGTATTAAAGTTGATAAAATACGACTTCCACTTCGATCAATAATCGAAAAAACTAGTACTGATACCGATTGGAATGAGTGGAACGTGAGTTTTTCAATAGTTTTCAGCAAAAACTGGTTTTTGTATGATAGGCGCATATTCATAGTCATATTTAGTACTCAACTAAGTCGAAAATATTCTAAGTCACAACTAAAGCTATTCATAGTCGCCTTAGTTTCGACTTTTCTGCCTAAGTACCAACTTGAAATTTAGTTTCGGCTGCAGCTGCAACTAATACCATGTTCTGACCGACAACGAAAACTCTTTGAAAACGAGTTTTGGAATTGTGGGCTGAAGGCTGTTCACACCGGTTGTTAGTGTTTTCGTTGACATTTCTTACATCCTCTGATTGCAGTTTTGCTACACAAAAGCAAAACCAAAATACTTTTCCCACATTTTCTTGTCATTGGCATGTCTTACTTTTATTCTTATTTTAGTTTGGCCAGCCTATTAACAATAAATACGAAATAGCGTATTAAAGATGAGAGAATACGACTTCCACTTCAATAAATAATCGAAAAAAAACTAGTGAAGACACCGATTGGAATGAGTGGAACGTGAGTTTTCAAGTAGTTTTCAGCGAAAACTGGTTTTCGTTTGACTGATTTTGCGTGGACGAAAACACATGTTTTAGGTCGACAACCAGTTTTAGCAACGAAAACATGTTTTCGATGTCGGTCAGAACATGGTATAAGTCGTAACTAGGAAGAAGTGTTTTATCAAATTAAGGGAAAACAGACGAAATATGTAAAAATTAAGTTGGCAGAGGGTGATTTTGATAATATTGAAAAATCTCCCATTAAAATTTACAAAGATCGATCCATTTTAATCGGAAGATGAAATAAAATGCGTATTACAGTTCGAATAAAGCTACATCACAATTTTATAATTGGAATAATTTATATAAATTCTGAAATAATAAGTCAGTTTCACGCTAGTTCTTTTAAAGTAAATTTGTGCATAACATTTAGATATCTAGGCGCATATTCATAGTCATATTTAGTACTCAACTCAGTCGAAACTATTCTAAGTCACAACTAAAGCTATTCATAGTCGCCTTAGTTTCGACTTTTCTGGCTAAGTACCAACTTAAAATTTAGTTTCGGCTGCAGCTGCAACTAAGTCGTAACTAGGAAGAAGTATTTTATCAAATTAAGGGAAAACAGACGAAATATGTAAAAATTAAGTTGGTAGAGGGTGATTTTGATAATATTGAATAATCTCCAATTAAAATTTACAAAGATCGATCCATTTTAATCGGAAGATGAAATTAAATGCGTATTACAATTCGAATAAAGCTACATCACAATTTTATAATTGGAATAATTTAGATAAATTACCAAATAATAAGTTAGTTTCACGCTAGTACTTTTAAAGTAAAATTTCGAATAACATTTAGATATCTACTATTTGTATGTTTCACAGCATGCTTTCGATAAACATCGACTTCACATCACTGCGGTTGTTCTGGCTATTTCACACAATTAACAAGAAAATGATACCTTATTCTTTTGCATAATCATGCAATGAAAATAAAAATTACATAAACGGATGATCAAACTTGATATTATCTAATAAAAGTGTAATTTTTCCAAAATATCGTAAAGAAAAATCGATACTTTTTCACACTCGTTTTGCTATATCGTAAACTAAGTCGAAACTACTTAGTAGAAGTCTGAAATGCGACTATGAATAGAGGTAAATTTTAAGTTGGTACTTAAATTTAAGTTGCAACTTTGTTAGTTTCGACTTAGTTGCTGGACTATGAATACGCGCCATAGATTTTACATGGACGAAAACACACGTTTTAGGTCGAAAACCAGTTTTAGCAACGAAAACATGTTTACGATGTCGTTATTATTATTCCCGGACTTCTATTTTTTAATCTAATTATTTTTGAGAATAATATTCAACCTTTTTTTTTGATTGAGCTTGAGGCCGTTTTTAATGAAAAACTATTCTGGAAAAGCAAAAATAATTTTGAAAAAATGGTAGGACTGATAGCTATTTCGGAAATCACCTCATTTCCTCATCAGACTTCTATCAGTGGGATTCGATCCAACGATCCCAGCTGACTCATCCAGTTGCCTATGCACCGTGCTAAGCTCGCCTTGTAAATTCTTGTTGCCTTTTCCACTTCTTCATTTGTGAAGCCAACTACAATCAAGCGCAGCTATTCCAGTGC